CCAGGGTATAATTGTAATCCCATCCCTTACCTCAGTGCTGCTGGATAAGACACAATGGGAGACACCACATCAGTTCAACCCCAACCACTTTCTCGATGCTGAAGGGAACTTTGTAAAGAAAGGAGCTTTCCTGCCTTTCTCCACAGGTAACTAAAGGGCTGACCTGCACAGAGCTGGGACTGTGACAGGGCCACTTAATTACAATACACACTAATGAGTTTTCACGTCTAAACACTGCCCTTAACTCAGTCAATAAGCAACCAGACAACTGAATGGAATCAATTGTTCTGCATCTGAGCAAATGGCTGCTCTCAGAGCACAGCTCTTCCACTGCTAAATATAGCACAAAGAAGGGTAGCGAAAAGAAACACATTCTTATCTAAAAGTGGTATATGAGGATATATTCCACAGAAAAAGTGAGTTTCAAACTATTCCACTTTGGAAGGAGGTGGCATTCTTCTATCGGGCTGCTTTCCAAAAGAAAGGGTTAAAGATCCTGAGAGGGTTGGAAGAGCTAAGGAGAGGAGAGGGCACACCATAAATGTGTAATAACCCTGCAAGATGGCTGTAGCCTGTGACAAAAGAGACCAGGCAGGAACCTTCAGCAACACAGGGCCCTCTACTCCAAAATGCTTTAGTGCATTTCAAAGTTTCCCTCCTGCTCCCATTGCAACATCTCAGATGCCAACATGTCCACAGCAAACATTCCAGTTGGATTCTTCCACGAGGTGAACACTCTGCTTTCACCCGCAGGGCGACGGAACTGCATCGGAGAAAGCCTGGCCAAGATGGAGCTGTTTGTGTTCTTTGTAGGTCTGCTCCAAACATTCACTTTCCGACCCCAGCCGGGCGTTTCAGAGTCTGACTTGGACCTCACCGTCCCCCAAACGACTTTCACGTTAAGGCCTCAGCCTCAGGCAACCTGTGCTGTCCTGCGGGAATGACCACGGCCTTGTCCCAGATCTTTGGGATCCAAGACCCCAACTTTGCTCAAACTCACCATCCCCCCACCCTGCCACACCACCACATCCCTTCCCACTGTCTCCATCCACCCCTCCACTGCTCCATCCCCCCCAAGGGCTGCTCTTTGCTCCTTGCTCTGGGGGAGGTGCAAACCCAAACCATGGTGCTGGCCATCACACCCCACTTCTCAAGACATGCATGGAGCTGGTGAAGGGACCAAGCTGCTGCTCTGGTGGAGGGGATGCAGCCCATGAGCAGCAGGGGAACACCCAGGCTCCCAAGGTTCACCATGTGACAGAAATCTGCCTGGATCCTGAGGAAGAACAACCCAAGGTTTGCTGGAAGCTGCAGAGAACCACCGTGGGTCACAGGCTTGAGCCATCCACCGACACCTCCTGGGCTGTCCCATAGCTGACAGCAAAATCCTACCAGGATTTCACCTCCCAGGCAGCCAAGCCAAACACCCGGAGTTAAAAACGTTATGGGTTCACGTGATTTGAGGACTAAGTCATTTCTGCCTTAGAACAGTGTCCTGGAAGATGCCCCAGAGGCTGCAAACCTGTTCAGAGAAGCAAGTGCTGCAACCAAGCTCAACAGTGCTCCCCAGTCAGAACAAAACAGGAGCTGCATTTCTAAGATTGCAATTTAAATCATGAGGCCACATTAGATTTGCACCAGTATCCGGTCATAAAGGGCTAATGACACAAAAATAAACTACACCCACTGCTAGTTTTACACATCTCTGTCCTTCCTGACCGTGTTAAATAGCAGCAAAGATTGCTCCCTCTCTTCAGATACCCTGGTTAATGTTAAGAGCCTACAGCAGCAGTCATTCTGGTGTTTGGGATGGTCTGGCCTTTGGAACCAGCCATGCAATTCCCCTGCAAATGCAGTCTGATTTCACAGTGCTTGTTTTGCACACACACATGCACAGAGAATGGGGATCAGGGACTAAATAAGAGCTGGTTTTGGTTGGCTTCCTTTGCTCTGTAGCTCAGCCTGGCTGTTGTCTCTATCTCACTCTTACATGCCATCATATTCCACAGCCTTATTCCAGCTGAGGCAATTTTCCATCCATTTATCTGCCTGTGACTTCCCACTCCTCCACATGCATTTTCTTATCATGTGCTTTATCATATTGTTTGTTTCCCCTTCATGGGAACCCAATAAAGTTTTAATCCCATGTCCTCATTACATTTCCTATGCCTGGCACCCAGCTTTGCAGCACACAGAAATGCAAACACCCTGAAAGGCTGGTCCTGAGCCCAGAGTGACAACAGATAAAAAGTCAGATGTATCTCATGGGTGAGAAGTTCTGCATATGCTCATCCTAGCAAACACCAGCTCAACAGCAGACCCTCCATACCTGCAGGGTGGTTTCACCAGGGCAAATTCCTCAGCTATGGGCTGTGAGTCAGCCCTGGGGACAGCCTCAGTTCTTCCCTTGTGTGCCTCTTGCTTGCAGAGGCTGAATTAAAGGTTGCCACACAGCCTCCCTGATGCTGGTGCTGGCCCTGTGCTTAGTGCTTTGGATGGGAAGGCGAGGAGAGACAGGTAAAGCAACTGGGGAGCAAACCACACATCAGCTCTGTGGAGGAAGCCTTGGTCTTGCTGAATTAAAATAATACTTTCAGCTTCGTAAAAAGGCCAGGGTTGTTCCTGTTTTAACCCTTCCAAAATTACACAAACTGAAAAGAGAGATAAAGCAGCAGTGTAGTGCTCTAGGAAACAACACTGAGCCAGGCTCAACTCTGCACAAATTCACTGGTGGAACCTCAGGCCTGCCCCCCTGCCATGGGCTCTGGGGTTCTTGGCTTTGAAGTAGAGACATGGATCCTTCCTCCACAGCACAGCAGCCTCCAGAGCTGCAAACATCCAAGGAAAGCAGGTTCCTTTGATTCCTTTGAAAAATGCATCCTACTTGTGCCTGTGTCAGCAGATGGATAGGAGTGATCCCTCCCCAGCACACTGAATTACACAGCTGAATATATCTCCACAAAATAAAGTGCCTGTCTCCCGCTTATTTGCTCAGCCAAGCAATGGCAGAACATTGATTATGACCCAGCTATCTGTTTATCTGGCAGAAAACATTGGCTCTCAGAGGTGGAAATACCATTTCCACATTCCTCAGTGGCCCTGAGGGTCTTCCCTGTAGCTGCAAAACATGTTTGTGCCTTGCAACTCTCACCTGATTGAAGGCAAACACCTTGGGGCAGGACAGGTGCCTTGGTTAAGAGTCAGATCTGAACAACACCAACTCACTTTGTGGCTCACGGCACTGGCAGCTCTCCCATGGCCCAGTTTGCCACTCCCAGGGCTGTGTGATGCTGGAACCAGGGGCTCCTTCCCTGAGAGGGGCAAGGACCAGGGGCAGGGATTGCAGCAGCTCCACCTGCACCCCTCTGCACTGGCCAGAGCAATGAGAATTGCACACAATCGAATTTCTACTTTATTTTTTGCCACGAGATGGCACCAAGATCCCTCTGAGCCACAGCCAGCCCAGCCCTGTGGTCCTCACTGGGCTAGAACGCCCTGCCAGCACAAATTCGGGCTGGGGAAGGAGTCAGAACTAAGTTTTTAGGATTTATGGCCCCCTCAGTCCATAAATCCCCTGCTGCAAGGCTGGGTGCAAGAACATTCATTTCCCATTAACCTGCAAGAGTCAGGGGTGTGCAGGGAATGGCTGGGGTTAAATCCATCTGGCATCTACCATTCTGCCCGTTTTATCCAGCAGCACAGGGCTGAGCAGGGGGATCCCTGCCCTTCCCCACAGCACAACCATGCTCTGCTGTAGCATGTGTGGATGTTGCAAGCTTCTGGCCTGCCCCCTCAGCATTCCTCCCTTTGGGCTGTGTCTGGCAGCCAACTCCTTCCTCTGAAGTACCAATTCCTGGGCTTGCACCTGCCAGTAAGACCCTTCATTAATGAAGATACTCAGTTCCCTGGAATTACTGACTAATGTGTGATCTGGCCCTGGCCCAGCAGGGCGGTGGAAGCCCAGAGGTGCAATGGAGAGCTCAAAAACCAAATGGACACAGCACGTGAGGACATGGCCTAGTGGTGAACGTGGTGGTGGTGCTGAGTTGATGGTTAGATTTCAATATCCTGAAGGTCTTTTCCAACCTCAACAATCCTGTGGTTAAGCTACAATAGCTGTTGGCTGTTCCCCGGTGATGAAGCAGAGGAAAGATGTGGGCCAGGCTCCCTTTGTGCCCAGCTGCTCTCCACTGCCTCCAGCACAGCAGAGGCAATGTCCTGGCAGCCCAGAGGCAGTGTCCTGGCAGCCCAGAGGTGCAATGGTAGCCCAGAGAATGTCCTGGCAGCCCAGAGGCAGCGCTGCTCTGCAGGCCATGGGCAGCAGGGAGTGGAGGGAACAAGGAACAGACTCCAGGTTGTGGAGACTGAGCTGTGGGGAAAGGGAAGTGTGCCTAACCCTGAAGTCACACTGGCACTGGACTGGACTCAGAGGAGATGAGGGATTGGGGAACTGGCTCTTCCCCTCCAAAGCCCTGTGCTTGAGGCTTGCTCACCCCTGGTGCTTTTTGCCCCGTGGATTAGTGGTGTTCTGCACCCCTTCACCTGGAGAGCAGCGAGGCCCCTGGGGGTGAAGCAGCCTTGAAAGGGGGTGTCAGCTGAGCAGCATCCCAGAGAGGGATGAATCTCCACACCTCATGGATCACTGCTTTGGGAAATGCCATCTCAAAGGCAGGGAAGCAGCCAGGGCCAAGAACTCCATCTCTGTGTCAGCCTTTTCTGCAGGGCAAAGGAAAGGTGAAACACCTGTGAATCCCAGCTCCTGCTGAATGTTGGTTGGAATACCCCAGGATAGGAGGTCTGCAGCCCCTGGGGTAGAGAACAACCTCTCAGATGCTTTGATCTTGAATGGCAGCATTCAGTGTTTGGATGGAGGTGGACAGTACCCACATTTTGGATGCTCTGGCACACATGAGAGCCTGTGATGCTTTTAAAGGTGAGCATCACTTACAAAGTCACTGCAGGATACTTCAGCAGACTGTGTCAGCAAAGCAAAACCTTAC